TCCCTAATATGAAACCTCTCTTTTTTTTGCTCCTTTATAATTCCAAAATAAAAAGGATGATATTATGACATCAATGGTGAAAAGTCCTTAATCTCAAATCTAACACCCACATCCCCTTTCCTTTTCCTACGAATATCCTCTATAGGTCCTATTGATTTAAGAACTTACACAAATGGAAAATCTTTATTTAGAGAGAGAAGCTCACATTTCCTATAGAGAGAATCCTTATTTTTCAAAAATCCATTTTCCCTCCTCTGTTGTCAGATCTTTTGGTGATGGTAGATAATCCTCCGGTGACTGACTTAGGTCATAAGAATTATTCCACTCGTCAACCTTTAGTCTCTCATCCTGATGAGGCTCTCCACCAATTTCAAAATTTTGCATTGTCAGACCTGCCAGCAATAGTGGAAAATCCTTTGGTTTCTGTCGCCGGTAGTCAGAATCATCCAATTCATCCTCCATTGTGTTCTCAATTACCTAATTGTCATTTTGATCAAAAAAATTCTACTATGTATGGCATATTGAAGATTAAGAAAATATCTCTGGTTACTATGAAGACACCTTCACCTATATTGGGTGAAGGTAAACAAGTGGAAGAAGATTTGATGTTGAAACAATTTTTCTGTTGGAAACAAAATAAATAATTTGGAAGTTTTTTTTTCCTTTAAACATGAAGTTGATTGTGAATAGGTTTGGTATGCTGAATCTATCAGATAAAACTCCAAACTTCAAATCATTCTGTAGGCCCTTCTACTATTTAGAAGAATGCGCAAAAGATATTTACTGATGAGATGGAGAATCATGTTGAAATCTGCAATGATGAAATTAACCAACTTAATCCATGGAACAGGTGGTCTAATATCAAAATTAAATTTTCCAAGGATGATTCTCTTATGATTGAAGATGGCTATATGAAATTATTTAAACCTATAGTTGAGGAAATTCTAAGCAATTGAAGTTTTCAGTTATGGTGAAGGTGTTTGGAAAGAATATATCAGTTCAAGTCATTGCTCGGGAGCTATTTAGATAGTGAAATCAATTTGGTAAATTCCATCTAACCGTTTTGAATTTGAGGTGGATCTTTTGTTTGCTTTTTTCTTTAGAATCCATGAAATATGTTTTATCAGGTGGTCCATGGTTTGTTAATGGTCATATTGTGGATATTGACAAATGGACTCCTAAAATTTATACGTCAATGTTGAAGGGGTAGACATCTCCTATTTGGAAAAGATTTCCTCATCTACCTCTTTTTTGCTAGGAAGAAACCAATGTTACAAGGATTGCAAGGATTTGTGTTCATGTAAACCTATATAGTTAGAAAACTACTTTTGATTGATGTGAACATGTTCCAATGGAGAAGGAGAGAATTTGCAAGGATTTGTGTTCATGTAGACCTATATAAAAAACTTCCTTTTGGTTAATGGGTTGAAAGAAGAAATGTCCGATTCAAAAAATTGAATATGAGAAGGTTTCAAATTTTTATTTCAAATGTGGGAGAATTAGTCATATGGTTGCTAACTGTAATTTGGACATAAATTCTATTACTACAAAGGATGTACATAACTATAACTTGGTGAATTATGTTGCTGATAAATCTCAAAAAGTGGTTGAAAATAGTGAACTTGAAAACGGACCTTGGATTAATGTAAACCGTGGAAGAAAAGCTAGAGGTGCTAGTATCCAGAGAAGATTTTATAAGGCTAAGGCTCCTGTGGGTGAAAACATATCTCAATGTAACAATAAGAATGTGAATAAGATGGAAGTGAAGAATATTTCAGTGGAAAGTTCAGAAGCTGTAAGGGTGAAAAATGAAAGAAAATAAATACTGCTATTGATCATTCCAATAAAGAGCTGAAGTTAACTTTGATTCCTGAAATCATGGATATTCCTAATTCTTTTGATCAGCCAATTCCAAGTTCAAACCATACTGTTATTTATGTTGAGAAGTCTACTAATCATGTCTTACATGAGGAGGAGAATATGTTTAGTTTACTTGGATCAGCAGATGATGATGGTAATTTAAAAAAAAATTGCTGCACCCAAGGTGGATGATAGAGGAGAGGGAGAACTGATTGATGATGTAAAGGAATGTGATGATCCTCTTGTTAAGAAAAATACTCCCAATCTGACAATGATCAAATTCAAATTGCAAAAAGAACTGAAGTCCTTGGGAAATGTTTATTTATCATCTAAAAACAGGAAAAGTGAGTTGGTAAAAAGGAGAAGTAGGGGTCAAATCCCACTTCTAATCCCAAATGAGTTCCTTAATCTTTTGGAATTGTAGGGGTGCTAGGAAAGTTGAAGCCTCCCATTACTTGAAGGAGATTGTGAAGTATAATGATGCAATCTTTGTGTGTTATGTTGAGACCAAAATTTCATCTATAGATCCTTTTAAATTCAAAAGATTTATAGGAGATATGTGGGATTTTTTCTTATTTCCTACGATGTGTTTTTTTGGTGGTATTATGGTGTGTTGGAGGTAGTACTTGGCTTCTTTTTTGGTTGTTGATGCATTTATCCAAACAGTTGTGGGTGAATTGAATGTTATGAACAAAGGTATTTGGTTTATAGCAATAGTGTATGGAAGTACAGATTGTTGCAATAGAAGAAGCTTATGGAATAAATTAGAGTCTTTCTCAAGTACATGACTTTCTATGGATATAGGTGGAGACTTTAATTGTATTTAATCCCAAGATGATAAGAGAGGTGGCAAAAAATTGTTTTTTCTCAAGGATCTCAAGACATGTATTCTTTATGAGAAATTGTGACTTCCATGAGATAGGATTTATTAGTCCTAATTGTACATGGTGCAGTAATAAAATAGGGAATGATCGAATCTTAGAAAGGTTGGATTATTGTGTCCTCAATTATGTTGCATTAAAATTGTTTAAAGGTGGGGGTTGTAAGGCATTTGGCATGAATTGCATCGGACCACTATCCTATAATGCTTAGAATCATTTCTTCTGAGCTGAGAAAGAGGAGAACTCTTAGGTTCGAAGATGTTTGGTTAATTTATCCTGCTTCGTAATCAGTTGTGTGGTAGTCTTGGAAAAACTGATGGAGGAAATGCTGCAAAAAGTTTGAATAAAAATTTTAAAAGAACTTTGAAGGCTTTTTTTTTTTGGAATAGAGAAAAGCACAAGAGCTTAACTGAGTTAAAAAATTGTTTTAAAAGAGAAATTATAGAGCTTCAAGAAGAAGAATCTAGTGAAGGAGGCCTTTCTGAATAGATATTGCATTTGTTGAGATCTAAGGTTAGTGATCTTAACTCTACACTAGGACATCTCTGTACTTGGTGGAAACAGCGATTGAAATTGTAATGATTTAAGGATGGAGACTCTAATTTTAAATTCATCCATACGTTTGCTATGGCTAAAAGAAATGGTAATTGGATCAATCAAGTGAAAAATAATTGAGGTATGGTTTTGGAAAAATAGGAAGAAATTGAAGACGTCTTTGTAGATTTCTTCAAAAATAAATGGAGAAAATGGGAATGTATTTTGGAAGGGTGGCCTTCTTCTTCTAAGAAGCATGATGATATTGATATTAAGATACTTGATAGAGAATTCTCTAGGGGAGAGTTGGAGGAAGTTATTAAACAACTGGGCTCTAACAAATCTCCAAGTAATAATGGAATCACATACTCCTTTATTAAAGCTTATTGGTCGATAATTCAAGATGACATGTGGATGGCTATCAATTCCTTTTTTAACACTGGTTCTTTGTGCCCAGCTTGGAAAGGGACAAATGTGGTGTTAATTCCGAAGGTAAAAAATCCTTTATTACCTTCCAATTATCGACCCATTAGTCTTTGCAATTCCATTAATAAGATTGTGGCAAGCATGTTATTAAATACAATGAGTTACTTATTTCCAAAGATTATTTTGGAGGTTCAATATGCTTTTGTAAAAGGACTTCTTATGTCAGATCAAATACTTCTTGCTCAAGAGTTATTTTATAAATTTAGATTTTCTTAATAAAAAAAGGTATTGGTGGCTATCAAAATTGACATGGAACATGCATAGGATAGCCTATGTTGGCTTACCCTTAATCAAATCCTTGAATGGTTTTGTTTTCCTATAAAATTTTCCAAACTTATCATGGAGTGTATGAAGGATCCAAAATTTTATATTTTGATCAATGGTATCAATTTAGGTTGGATTGAATCAAGAAGTGGTTTTAGGCAAGAATGTATGTTATCTCCTTACCTTTTTATTATGTGCTCTTAATTTATATCTAAAGAATTTTCTAGAAAATGTGGAAGGATCGGTATGAATATATCTCTGAATGCTCCATTGACTCTCACTTAGTTTACGTAGATGACATAACCATTTTTTTTTAGGCTAATGGTAAAAGCTTAAAAAAATTAATGTCATTTTGAGAAACTACTATAAATGGACTAGCAAAAGATAAATTTGAGCAAATCATCTATGATGTTTGGAAATTCTTTAAGAAGAAGGAATGTCCGATCTTTGTCTAAGATACTGAAGTTTAAGGTGGTTAATGAGCTGGATTTTTTGGGAACTAAAATTGCTTTGAGAAGGCTTGTTAGTTCATATTTCAATATAATCTGATTGAGAAGGCTACTGGGAGATTCAACATGTGGGGAAATAAATTTCTTTCACTTTCAGGAAAATTAGTATTGCTTAATGCTTCCTTTCTATCTTTACCTATATTTTTATCTACTCATTCTCTAATTCCAATGGGCTTTTCTTTTAGGGGGCCAATATTTTGCACCATAAAGCATTACGGGTTTCACTACCATCATATAAAATTTTCCCTTAAGTTTGAGGGGTACTTTTCTATCATTGTATCACAGAACATGTCCGATGCATTCCTCCACTTCAACAATCCAATTTGAATTCTACTAATAATATCCATATATTAGTTCTAGCTTCTAGCTTCTCTAGCAACCTAAGTGATACCCTAGATTGAAACTTGAGTTGTTAAATTTTCTTATTGAATAAATGAAGTTGGATCTGCTGTACTTTTGATTGGGAGATGTCATCTTGCTTACTGGTTTGAACAGGGTAATGAACGTTTATCTGTACCAGCATTTGGTGAGTGGGATGGAAAGGTGGGTCTACCAGATTACTCAATTGATTTTTCTAGGATTCGAGAACATCGGAGGCAGAACAAGAGCCGGGTGAGCCTTGGGAATGAGGACGAGCTCCTAAACCGTACTAGCATAAATGGTGACCAGAGTGTTGAGTCCCTTAAAAAGAATCTCCCACTTCATCAGCAGCATGGTAACTCCACTGTGGTAAGTCTTGTTTTTCATATTGCCGGTCAAATGATTCTTTGAAATGGCTTGCTTATGGCCAAGTTAATTTGTTTGTAATGCAGCTAAGATTCTTTGAAATTGTTTATGTTGTTAATCCCCCCTGTAAATAATTTCATTCTGATTCATGTGGTTAGAAGCCCACTATTTGCTCAAAAAGATTAAGTTGCACTCTTTTTACTTTACCCTGCACAGAGGTAGGAGAGCTACTTGTGGAAAAGCTAAGCCTTCATTTGGCTTACGCTTTCAAATGCAGCTGACAAAATTTAGATCTGTTTAGATGGGAAAAAATTGACGACCTTTCTCATGTTTTTATCAAAATATGTTTTAGAAATGCTGTATGTGAAAAGGAACAAATAGCAATTATGGTTGAGAAAACAATTTTTTGAAAAGCTCTAACGATAAAAGCATAAAAACATTAGCCAGCTAATTGAAGCCTATATATATATATATATTAAACTACATTAAAATCATAAAAAGAGTACAAGCACCACAGGAGCAAAATGACAGGAAAGCAACAGAAAATACAAGAAAATTACAACCCAATGGCTCAGTAATTGACCGAGGCTTCCAGCTTCCCCGAAGTTAAGCTCAGACCATCCAATTTGGTGAAGATAGCAGTAAATCACGAAGCAGCCAACCCAATCGAGTAAGAGACCACCACCAAAGATTGCCATGAGCCATGGTGATGGAGAAGCAAGCCCCAGCCATAACATTGCCCAAAAAAACAAATGACCAACTGTAAATATAAATCGAAGCTCCAATGAACCAGCACAAACAAAACCAATCAATGCAAAAACCACCATCGAGAAGCAGCAAAGACAACCGAGAACCACTAAAGACAACAACACCAACCCACAACTTATTTCCTCCCACGTTGGCCCCTCCCACGAGAAGAAACAGAAACAACAAGACGATCATTCGGTAAGGGAAAATCAACCCCAGGTACATCATCCTAACTAGCTTCCGAAGAAGAATCAGAAGAGCATTGAAGCCAATCAAGTTGCATCCTAACCTTCTCCCCCGAATTAGCACCTACTTGAGCAACCAACGCCTTAGGGGATACTAAATTAATAGGGACCTCAACAAAATAAGCATTTAAAGTTGGCGTAACTGGAGAATTAACAGTAGGAACAACACCAGAGTCCACACACATCACACGTGAGGGTGTAACCAAAGTATCCCCACTCAAATAAGGACGAGACTCACTAGAATGCTCCACAAAATGCACGGTGTAGACACAGCTTCCACCGCATACACAACAGGGCAAGAATTAGGGATGCCAGACTCACCCAAAAGATCACCAACACTAGCACAAGCCCGAGGTGCAAAGACCCCAAGCATAATATCCTCAGGAGTTTTCACAGTAGACCCAACGACACCAATCTCATCAACAGAAGTAACATTGATAAACGAATTAACAGGCAACAGGTTGGGAGAAGTCGGCACCGGATACCTTAGCTCATTAACAAGAGGCAAAACATTAACCTCAACCTCAGGAATACTAACGTCACGATCCAATTCCTGCACCTCAGGCACCATTACAATAGGGACAATAACATTATCAACAATAGCATGGACTAAATTAGAGCTCAGAATAGGAGTGATATTAGGGGGAACAGCCGAAACATGACGACATTTACCCGGAACATGACCAATACACTTACAAGACGCACAAAATGGGGGGAATTCATCAAAAACAACCTCCTAGACATACCCCAAATTTTCAGATCCTAACCAGACTTGATTAGGATAAGATTTAGTAATATCAAGTTCCACTAAGACACGGGCAATAGAAGGCCGTGGGCATATAGAAGTTGCTTCATCAATTTTCAATGGTTTGCCAAAGATAGCGCCAATACCATGAAGAATGCGAGGAGTGTACAAATGGGGACGAAGGTGAGGAAAAAAATCCAAATCGGAATAACATGAGACTCAACACTAACGTCCAAGCAAGGCGACCACTTAGTTAATTTCATATAACAGTTGAAAACCAGATAAAATCTATGACAAAAAACCCTACAATAGTCTAGGTCATTTGCTAATTTGATCAGTTTGTGAGAAGGATCCAGCAATGTAACAGAGACCTCGCCATTTAGCTTTAGGTTAAAAAAAATTCCGAATGGTGTCCAGAGAAGGCCTCTTAGTAGGAAAATAACCAATTAAAGAAAATTGAAAAGGGGAAGCCAAAACCTTGATTTCCTGGTCGGAAATCCAAAGTGAGGGCAGACCCCGAAAAGTAGAGGTTCGAAGATCTGGAAATGAGGAAGAAGTAGAAGAACCAGCAAGCCCATCTAAAAACAAACGGGAATGAGAACACCCAAAAAAAAATCGGGGTCTCGCAACTTATTTGGAGCCATACCGGCATCGCCGGAGAGAAAAAGAGAAAAAAAAAAAGAGCAAACACCAAAACAATAAAGATACAAAGAGCAGGAAACTTCCCTGGACTCCAGGATAGCAACCGGCGGGGAATCCCTAGCGGGGTAGGGAGAACCCCGGAGGGGAGAAACCCCAGCAAAGCCCAGCAACAGAACCCTAGCAGAGGGAAAAAATCCCTAAGGGACGGGAGCTAGTTTTTACTATTAATAACATTAGCCTACATATTTCTTATGGTCATTGCTTCTTTAATATTTAGGTCGCTGAAAGGGGTAGTTCCTATTATTTGTAATATCAATGATATACCAAGTTTGTCAATTACTTTGCTATGTGTTAGAAAATTTGTGTGGGTAGAATATTTAGTATCATAGCTTTGTACAAATATCACGTACCCATGGATAAAAAGTTATGAGAGAATAATTTTTTATGTGAAATATTCATAAAGGGTAAAAACTATGGGGCATGACCTAATTGCAATAATGCATTACTATATAATTATAAATACAAGAATACATTCTTCTCTACAATTAAAGAATACAAGATTATACAATTGAGAGCAATTGCCTGATTTATGTTGTGAGGATTACAGAAGGGGTGCTCACAAATGGTCAGTTGAAGTCCAATAATGGGGTTGGTTATTAGTAGTCAAACAACAATAGTAGGATGATAGAAGTCTGGTGATGGCAACAATGCTTGCTGGTGGTGGTCATTAGCGTTGATCTTCAAAAATTTCAATAGAGTTTATCAACTTTCTCATTTCTCGAATGTCTTTCACATAGAAATTAATGCCCCATTTATAATTTTTTGAGAGTGTTACTTTGATAAATTGACCAGAATTCAAGCACCGCATCAAATAGTTCATATTGATCTACTTGATCATGTATTGTTTATGTGGCATATGAGTGCCTAAACGATGTCAGAATCGAATGATCTTATGCTTATTAGATTCATTTCATTGACCCATTTGATTTGACTAGAAGCATGCAAAATATATAGACTATTTAATATTCAATTAATGTCTTGAAGTTTTTAATTATTATTCAAGTGCTTCATTTGAGCTCATTTTAAGTCTATTTGGATCACTTGTGGGGTTCACATCATCAAGATATTCAGTTCGACTATAAGTTTGCTAAAATCAAAGTTTAGGTGGTTCTAAATTTAATTATGGAAGTTTTCAATTCATATGTTGCCTTGAGATTCATGCAGATCTAGTGAATTTTTTGAGATGTATTCTTTGCCTTCTTATTTACGGACGTTAAAGTTTGTGTTGTTCAAAAGTATATATTAAGTCTTCTAAAAATTTTGCGGCATAAAGTTATAATTTTGAAAAAATTACAAGGTGTTACCATTCCCTTAATGTCAATATGGATCGTGAACCTAGTAAATTTTTCTTAATTATAATTTTAACTTTTCATAAAGCCGACTTATGTTGAAAAATATTGTTATGAATTTTTTAAATCTGCTCGAATTTGACCATGAAGGCTCTATTAAAAATTGAGTCATAAATATTGAAAAAAATGGTCCCAAGGACCCAAAAATGCAAGAATAGGCTTGTTCGGGCCTAAAATTTTGCCCGAACTTGGGCTAGTTGGCCACTACTGATGACGATTTGAAAATATATTTTCGTCCCATTTTGAAGTTTCGATTTTCTCCCAATAGGGAACAATGATTATGAAACAATGTTGTTAAAAAAGTACTTTCATGGAGTTTGACTTTCAGCTTGATATCATATTTTGTGTTAAATTAGTAGTGTCAAGCACCAAAATTGGCATTGAAACTATTGGAAGCATTTGAGATGTGCTAAAGATGGGATAAAATTTATATTATTGCATCAAACTCCAAGATGGAAGAGAGCACTCGTTGAAATTTGATGCATGTGTTTGAAGATTTACTGTGTGCTGACATCATGTAAATCCAATAGTTATGTATGTAGTATTGAAATGTATATTTCTTAATATACAAACTTGACTGATATTCATAATAAATTTTTTGATATTAATGAAGTCCCTATTTTTGTATAAGGGTAATTTTAGATTTATGAGAACTTGTCCCCAGAGGATATTAAGTTTTTCCTATGTTTTTGAGGATTACTTGAAAATTTCAAGTATTCTTAGAAGATTTTTTCCATCATTTGGAACATAATGACCTCAAAATTTTAATTAATAAAACTTTCTTGAGGCTTATGCCTTTTGGGATTTTTTGATAATCGAAAAAATAAGTATCTTCTAGGCTTCTGAGATTTTTATGGAGTCTAAGCAATATGGACTTTTAAATATTTTTTAGCCTTCTAAAGCTTTTGATGTATTTGTATTTTCTAAGACTTTTAATCTTTTGCTACTTTTAGAGTATTAGTTAAATATGTACTTTCTAAGATTTATATTTTCTTAGATTTTTTGTGCCTCGTACCTTCCGAGATTTTTAGTCCATATGTACCTTCTAAGTTCTTTGGTATTTTTATATTTTGAGGTTTATGCTTTCTGAAATTTTTGGATTATTAGAGAAACTTATACATTCCGAGGTTGTAGCCTTTTAGGATTTTTATTTAACTGAAGAAGTATGTACCTTCTAAAACGTTGTCTTTTGAGGTTTTTGAATTAGTGGATACCCTGTTAATCTCCATTACTAATTATCCACTGAGGCTGCATTATGGGCATGCCTTCTAGTGCTTATGACTTATGAGTGGAGACCCTATCGTCCACTTGTTATCATAGTAATTTTCGAGTGAAAAACTTTGTTCCCTGCAAGCTTCCCATCGAGGCTTTCTTATGGGCATGTCTTGTAAGATTTTTTGTTAGATACAATATTATTTATATATAAAAAAAAGCTTCATTAATCATTTTAAAAGATGTCTACTTGAAAGTTCTATCTTTATCTTCAATAAAAGTTAATATATAAATTCTATTTAAATAGTCTATGGAGCTCAACTTTTTGGATTGTTTTGGTGATTGAATCCTTCAGCGTGATGATGTTTATTGTTTTTTTATGGCATTTATATTCAATAATTTTAATAATTTTTTTGTTAGGGTTCTTCTAATCTACTCTATTTTGAGGGTGATGATCAGAAAGTTGTTCTTATAAATAATGACCCAAATATCTTTAGTGAATAAGACGTTTAATCTATTCTTTCAATCTAAAATATATATTTTTTACTTAATGTTCATTTGAATGATAAAAATGATAATATTGAGATTGATCTGTTTTCTTTAGATTTTTTAAGTATTTTGCCACTTCAGATATTTAGAAATTTTGATTTCCATTAAAATGCTAGCCCTAAATATATTTAATGAGATATAATTGGACGCCCAGGTTGAATATGGTGAGAAGGGAGTTTTGGTCTATTGATTGCCCTTGTGTTTTCATTGAGCAAGTTGATCAATTTCTTGTGATGAGTTCTTTCATTTTCTTGAGAATCATTCAAATTGCTATTGATGAGGATTAATGGTCTTGTTAGCAATTATTTGTGCTTTTACTCTGTAAATGAGATCAAACCACCATATAATCTTTTGCATTAATGAGGAGTAAAAAAGTCTATGACAGAAGCTTCCAAAATAAATCTCATAAGAATTTAATATCCACTCATAAAATCTGATATGTTTCAAAGGAGAATCTTTGAAAGTATTCTGATACGCCCTAGGGTTTCACCAATTCGATTTTGCCCTAATTTCTCTCAAATGAGCATGAGAGGAACAAAACAAGATCAAAAGCAAAGATTTTCCACGGTAAAATCCTTAGAGTTGTGCACTTTAATGATTTTCGGATTAGGGCACAATCCCTCCAAAACTTTGAAGGAAAACTCTCAAAATTAGAGCTCAATCATAAAAAAGAGAAGGGAATCCATTACAGGTATAACATTAAAAATTTGCGTAATTTACATGAGGGTCCTATATTGATCAATATACTTGTATGCGTTAGAAGGCCCATTATATAGACCAACTACATGCAATTTAAACCTAATTGAAATATAATGTTCAAGAATTACATTTGTTAGCGTTGAATACTATTGAATGCTATGATAATGGATAAATTGATTATTTTCTCTCAAAGGAAATATTTTTTGAATAAAGTATCACAGCTCATCTCTTATAATATCACTAGTGCCATTAATAAGGTGATTAATTTAAGTTCTCCATGTGTGTTGGATGATTATGAATTAGTCAAACAACATCGGAAAGATTGGTTGTTCTGGCAACATTCAAGAAAACTTTATGAGGTTATAGTAAAAGGAGAGTTGCTTCATGAGTAGTTCTTTTATGAGTAGCATCACTCCCAAACTATTATCGATTTTGCAGTGAGAGAATTGATGTCATGATGATATTCTTGTTGTCTAGTCTCTATTAAGAGTTGAGTTATTTGGATTGAAAGTTCTTTCATCTTACGCATATGATCCTCCAAAGTGAGGCTCAAACAACCTTCAAGACCTAAATTGTTCTATTCCTGATTGAAAGATTGATTGTCAGTTATTGAAAAATATTTTTAATATGTTGGGCTGCTTCCTACTGTCATCATCAAATTGTTACATACTAGATAATTTGCAATGATAGATAGTGTATTTAATAACTTAGATTTATTCAAAGATCAGCATGCATTATAAAGAGAAGTTGTGAGAGGAAAAAATCACGAGGCTTGACCTAGTTACAATAGTTCAATATATAATTATAGATACAAGGTTTTACTCTTCTCTACAATTAAAGAATACAAGATTACACAATTAAGAATAATTTCCTGATTCTCATATAGAGATTGCAAAAGTTGTGTGTCTACCTATGAACAATTGAAGTCCAATATTGTGGTTGAATGTTAATAGTTAGGAGGCAATATTTGGAGGACAAAAGTTAGGAAATGGTGGCATCAATTGTACATGATGGTCGTCAACACTGATTATCAGCAAATACAATAAATTTCTTTAGCTCTCGAACCTCCATGTGGAAAATAAGGTGCTGTAGTCTTTTTGTGAGGAGTACTTAGAGTAACTTTGGCTAGAATTCAAAACATCATTGAATGACTCATATTGATCCACTAGATCAATGACCATTTGATGCTTCACACCAACATCTCATCTCGATCACCCCTCTTCCAAAATTTATCTCATTTAATCTTTGAAAAATATTCATGCATATCATCCATTTTACATTCTTCATTTTCTTGTAAAGTCTACTAATACAAAAAACGACACAAATATTTATTTTCAATCACATCTCTATCTAGTAAAACACTCTAAGTAAGTCTACTCATATGTATGGAGATCACCATGATAATTACAAACATTATAAAATCTTTGTCGACCACTTCAGTCATAATGTTTGACTAGATCCACTCCAAAAGAAATTTGATGTCAAAACTATTTTTTTATTTGATGCCATTGTCTTTTTGTTTTTTTGGACAAACCCTTGGTCACTCCATATAGCAATAATGGTTGTGAATAACAAGCCATGCATACATTTCTAGTGCACAATGAATTTCTCACTCCACTCCACCTCATATGCCCAAACATCATCAATTATCAAATTTGGGCGCAGACCATCACACCTTTCTTCCTCTCACCTTTTGGTTGCATTCGCTTGAAATTATTGTCTACTTAATAAATAGAATGCCAAAAACCCAATCATCTATAATGTCATATGAAACCTTTTGGCGATCCGCGAAATCTATGCGAAATATCCATGGATTTCAACCATATGCCTCCAATAAATTGTGTCTTGCTCCACACCCTTCATCTTTTTAATCTGTTCTCTATGCTTACAAATGTTACGACTCCACTAACAAAATATTTATATCAAAATTTGATCTTTTTTGAAGTTATATTTCTCTTTAAAGCTCAAACAACCATTATCCTATCTCCATAATCTCTATTGTTGCCCTCTCCTTCCACACATCAAATCATTCCCACAATCTCACACAATCGTGACACCATGACATGCACCTTGTAGCCAACAAATTTTGAAAAGCACATAATATTGTAACAATATTTTTTACTTGCACCCCGCCAACAATGCCTTACTTAGTTGGCTCAATCTCAATCTCAATCTCATAATCTTGTGATTGCATCTAATAAAAGAATAATAATGGCTGTCTCACCACACCTCGTTTGGATATACCCCTATAAAGAAGGCTTTTGATCACTTCTCCATTGCTAGGTAATATTTTGTATTTTTTCCCCACAACACCACCCCTCTTTTTTATTACTTTCACAAATACCTTGTAGGCGCAATTGTCCTCCAATTCTCTCCACAAATCCCATTGTTGACCCACCTCCCCATCCTATACATACTAGCACCAAAAACAATATAACTATACGCAACTCGAAATACTTACTTCACCTATTTTCTCTCTTCACCTCATCAAAGCTACCTATGTCATGCAAGCCCTCAAACGATTTGAATGGGGCCATGCAATGTTAGAATAATTTAATTCTTTGATTCGGAACAGACTTGGGAACGCATTCCATCACACCATTTTAAAAAAAATATTTATTGCTTGCAAATGAGTCTTTCATATCAAGCATAATCCTGATGGCAGTGTTGAATGCTACAAGACCCATGTTATGTCCAAAGGTTTTCATCAACACTTGGGCATTGATTATCAAGAAACCTTCAATCCCATCATAAAGACAACCGATATTCACACATTGTCTCCCCTCTAAATGGTGGTCCCTTCATCAATTGACATAAACAACTCCTTGCATGGCACTTTTCATGAGAATGTTTTGATGTCCCAACAATCAGAGAGATTATTCTGTGCAGACACCGGACGGGAGAACCATCCAGTTACGCTTGGTGCCGTGCTCGGTACCAAGCGCGATATATTTTTAGGGTGATGTGGCATATTTTTATTGGTCTCCGGACACATCCAGACACATCTGGTCTCTGCACATAATAATAAATCCAACAATTGGGTGTTATTGACAGCATTTTTCTCGATCTTGTTTGCCATCTCTAGAAAGCACTAGATGGTCTCAAGCAAACATTACGAGCATGGTAATATGATCTTCATAAGTTTTGCTTTGACATGAGTTCTTCAACTTCAAATGTGCACATCCTTATTCATTTATAGTTTCCAACAACTCACAATGTTTGTACTAATATATGTGGATGACTGGATAGTCACTAAAAGTAAAGACAATCATGTTCAAACATTAATCACCAAGATAGCCAATTGCGTGCCATATTTTGCGACTCTTTGCATCAATTGTTGCTGACATAATTGAACCATTTCATATATTTCTTGGCAGAGGTAAGGTAACACAATCTTTTGGGTTTCGTTTGCTTTCTTTGACAGACAAGGAAGAAAAGCACAAGATATTTCAATTGTTGTCGATGTTTGGGGGCCTGAAATTCTGGTTTGTTCTCCACATGCTGCTACAAGTGGAGGTGAGCCTTTAAGGCTTTGTTTGGGACGATTTTTTTAGTACTTCTTAAAGCAGTTTTATAGTAAAAAAATTTAATTTTTTGCTAAACTGTTTTAAGAAGCAATAAGAAAGCCGTCCCAAACGAAGCCTAAATCTCTTTTGCATCTTTTTCTATTTTCTTTCACCTAGTTTAGTATCCCATTTTGTTCTTCTTTGATAGGCTGAAGATTTTCATCTTTCTATGCGTGTTATTGAATAAAATCTCTTTTCTATAGCGAATGTTATGGTGGTAGCAAAGCAGAGAAAGGGATCTATCGACATTCTTGATCTCAAACTACTTGGATTAGAATTAGCTTTTCTTTTACAAAGAAATGCAGGAATGAAGATGTTTCTTGGCGTTGATCTTTCTGATGTAATGTTTGGATTGCCTGTTAGTCTATTCATCACATATTTTTAGTAGTATTGATCGCATTGTTGTAGATATATTTATATTTTATGTACATGGATTTTTCAGTTCAGTAATTTATGATTCCCAGTAATAGGGTTTAGGGAGTAATATGACACGCATAGTAGAAAATATTATTGTTTAATAATTATTTCTGTGTTATTTATTTATTTTTCTTCATTGCATGACTTATGTTGTTTAAAAAATAGCATTTCTAATAGAATGGCAGTTAATTATCTCTGCCGGCCTCGCTCAGAGTTAGATTAGGCTTCTTTTGAGGCAGTTTTCTTACTGTTTTTTAAAACAATTTTCTAGTAAATTTTTTTTTTTAATTAAAAATTTTTATATCGTACAGTTGTTTTAGAAAACAGTAAAAAAATGATTTCGAACAAAACTTTAAAGTCATTTATCCTGATTTTGAGCCAAGTTGAATTTTGTCATATGTTAGCTTGATTCGATCTTGATTCAAGTTGGGCATGACAATGTCAATCCGAGTTTGAGTTAGGCCAAAGTTTCATTCAATCTTCAATTTTTTGGATTCTTTCTTAGGTTTAATTTGAGATAGTTTTTTATTATTTTTTAAAATGGGTTTTTAGTAAAAAAATTTTAGTTTGATAAATTTTTGCATTACAAGGCTGTTTTTAAAAGTAGTAAGAAAGCTGTCCCAAACTAAATCTTAGGTTTCTTTTGGGACGGCTTTTTTATTGCTTCTTAAAACAACTTTCAAGTTCAAAAAATTTAACTTTTGTATTAAAAAGCTATTTTAAAAAGTAGCATGAAAGTTGTCTCAAATAAAACGTTAGTCTAATGAGCATTCTTGCACATTTAGCTCGAGTTAGCTCTATTTGATACAGATTTGGCTCAATTTAAGTCAGATTCAAGGCCAACTTGGTTCATTAATAAATTCATTGAAAAAAAAAAAAAATCTGATTTCAAAGCAACTTTTGGCCTTCCACTCAAATTCACACTCCAACTTAGGCTTCGTTTGGTACGGCTTTTTTTATTGCTTCTTAAAGTAACTTTTTAGTTAAATAATTAAATTTTTTGTACTAGAAAGCTGCTTCAAGAAGCAATAAAAAAGCCTGTCTCAAACAAAATCTTAATCACACTATACTCAATTGGATTATTGGCCCAACCTGGTTCTTCAATATATAGTGCTCCATCAGTATGCGAATAATGCTTAGTTGGGTCTATACGTTTATATTATTTTAATTTAATTGTGATGTTAGCGGCTAACATTATCAGCAATGGAACAACATCTATGTGATTGCCGTCTGCCAAACGATCCAACTAAATATGTTTTCGTTCGCTATTCTCCAGAGTGAATAGAGCGACGTCAATATTGATGCCGCACTGTTTACACACGTTATATTTTTCTTTGTGATTGGGATTTGCAGCATAAGCGTATGAAAGAGGAGAAAGATGGTTACCTTTGGCAACGAGATGAAGAAGTGGGGGAAATGGAGTTCGATTAGAGACGAATTATTGTATTTTAGAGTTTTAACGGAGAACTGTTTTTGAGGAAGTGAATGTTTAAAACATAGGATATTACTAGCTTATGATTTGTTTGGAATATCATTATGTATATTTTATTTTCCAGATAACAATCATAATTTTATTTGACTATTATTTTCTTCTTTTTTTCATTGTTTTTCTGATGTTCCTATGGTGGAAATTCATTATATACAATCATAGTAACAAAGTTATTTTTTTCATAGTAATTTCATTATTAACTTTAGAAAATATTATAGTCATCCTAAATAGACCCTTAGTTTGTATAAATAGTTAAATATGTATTGTATGTAGTGACTTAATAATATTCAGAAGCTTAGGATTTTGGGTCTAATAATGTTTATTAAAGTTTAATCCTTGGTGTAATACGCAAAATTTGATCCTATAATGTGTTGAAGGGGTGTATAGAGTCTAGTCGAGTTTGAGTTACTTTTGACTTGAACTTAAATTTGATTAATTAATTAATTAAGCTTGAGCTTGATTTTACGAGCGCAAATTAATTGGCTCATGAGTTAACTTATTTATTAGGAGAAAATTTTGTATAACAAATAGTTAAGGAGACGTGTATTTTCATCCTTAAAGCTAGCATCTGCTTAATATTATTTTGAAGGTATATTTATTAAAAAGAAAATGTTGTCAGTATATCCATTCCATTTTCGTTACTCCTATTTCTAATGTCTCATAAGAAATGAGCCTTTTTTTTTTCATTGTATTAGAAGCAGTGTAATCTTGTAGCTCTTGTGTTGAATGGCTTATTGCAATTAACACCTCCTTAAAATTAAGGCTTCATTTGTCATTGTTTTCTTACTATTTTTTAAGGTAATTTTTTAGCACAAATTTTTTTTGAACTAAAAATTTTTATACTAAAAAACTACTTAAAAAATAGTAAAAAAGTTGTTCAAAATAAAGCCTATAGTTTATGAAACAATTAGATATGCTGCCTTTTAAAAAAGAAAAGCTTTTGATCATTGTTGGGGGAATCTCTCACCGTTGTCGGAACATCACCTAACAATGCCATAGCACCACCGCAAAATATTGCCCAATTTCAATCGTTGCATCACTATTTTTTTACCAATGTCACTTGACTATCTCCCTTTGAACATCAACGTCCAACCATGGTCTTGCGACCTCCATTGTCTTATTAGGATTTTTTTCCTACCATCACCTGATTATAGTCTTTTGACTATCGTTGTCTGAATACGATCCTACAATCAATGTTGCCTAACTGCAATTTTTTTGACACGTGTCCTAACTACAACCTCTAGCCACCCTCGCTCGAAAATGCTCATTTAACCAACATCACCTGATTATGTAGTTCTTCTCTATCCTAAGTTTTCCATGTAAAAAACGGTTGTCTCTTATGAGTTTTGCAATCATCATTTAACTATGTGTACTTAATATTTGGTGCATAATAATATCAATAAGTAAAATCATAAAATTTTTCGGGCATGATCGCATGAATAAAAGGATAATATTTTCATAAATCATTAATTTTCTTATTTATCATTCTTATAATTGGGTAACTTTCATTTGTCGTTGCAAATCTAAAATTTTTATACTTTTTTCTATTATAAAATAGTGATAAATATCATTATTATTATTATTATTATTATTTGTTGCGTGCTAGAATATACGCGACAGTAGAGTTAGGAAATATTCATCTTAGCGTTGCACGAGTATTCCGCACACGAACAGAAAAGAGAAAATGAATACCAATGTTTTTACGTGGAAAACCTTAAAGAGGGAAAAAACCACGGGGCCTCGCCCAGTTGCAAAGTTCAACTAGTATTTGTTTGAAGTACAAAGGTTGATCCGTCTTACAAATCAAGACGATCAACCGTTCGTTGGACATTTGAAGGCCTTAATGATGTCGGAATTCGATGATCTTGGGCTCGTTGGATTCGTCTCGTCGAGCCGTTCGATTCGAGTATAAGATCGTCAAAATCGGAGACCGTTTGGTAACTCAAATTGCGGTTTGAACCTTCTGACAGCGCTTTGAACCCTTGATTCGGACTCATTTGGGCTCGGATTGGGTTGATCTTGGTTTCGTATTTCCGAGACGCTCAGTTTGACTATAAGTTCAGTGAAATCGGAGTTCGGGTGCTTCCAAAAATAATTTTTGAAGTTTCCAACTAGCTTTTGCCTCGAGATTCGTGCCCGATCAAGATAATTTTGCGATGTCGTATCATTGTTATTATTATTATTATTATTATTAGTATTGAGCAACCTGAGAGATTGGAGCACATATCACATGGGAGGAGTTTTTTCTCATCAACCAACAAGCCCAGTCCGCTCCACATCATTAGTATTATGATACAACCTTAAAATGTATTAAGTATTCAGCCATGATCAAGCACATTTAATTTAACGTAAATGTACTTAGAAGTTAGAAATGAGTTGTCACTTGTCTATATATTTTTATATTTGCGGCGTATTTTTTTCTTCTAATTTTTTACAATTATAGTTATTTTACATCCATTTTAAAGAAGAAAAAATAAATAAAAAACATATAAGAAGTTTTTCCGTGCGTATAAAAAATTTCGGTGGAGTTTAATCAAACCAGATCACATAGCTTGATCAAAGCTGGCTTCGGCTCATTCTGTCAATAATCAATGGTCCGCTGCACCACGAAGTTTTACTCGCGCCAGTTGAACGTTATCTCCTAACTCTGCTGCTGCTCTCTCGCTCTCCTAAGGCGGGAGAGTTGAGGATGGCGTTTCGCTTCGTCCCTTTTGTTGTTTACCCGAGCACTAGGGTTTATCATTTGGAATCTCCTCTCAGAAGGTCGGAAATATGGAGAAAATGGTGTATTGGAGCTTCCTCTGCTGCGCCAGGGGTCGATCTCGAGGCGCTCAATGCGGCGATTGCTAAGGTTTCCCGTGATTTACCTACTCTTTTTCTTTGGTTGATTTCATGGATATTTACTTTCTCATGTTCTAGTTGTTAGCTACCTATTATTAAGCGGACACCAATATCAAATACAGTTTCCCTTTTCTGACCTCTCATCCATCTCTCTGCACTACAGCGAAAGTATGCGCCATTTCCAGGCCTCAACGTCCGATAGAAACTGCGGGTTGCATCTTCACCTTTCATCTCCAACTGATTCTGACACACACTGTATCTGTTTAAGCTTAGTTTACGTATATATAGCCTACCCTGTACACGATACATTTTGTGTTAAATGCATTCAACTATTTACATGTATTCTCTCATGGTATCAGAGCTAAAGGTTTAACAACTGCTCTTATCTCTCCTGTCACGGGTGACTTCAGCACCACCTCCTCCCAACGTCCGGCTCCCTACACCTCCCCCTCCCAAGCAGATTTCAGCATCCCATCCTCTCTAAAATTCCATATCTTCAATCTCAAAAACCTAGCCAATATTCAATTCACCGGTGACAATTTTCCCATATGGAAACTCCAGATCCTCAAAATGTTAACCACTAATGACTTCGAAGGCATCCTGACTGGCTCCCAGGCTTGTCCCTCCAAATTTACCCCATCCCCTACAGGTGATCTAACCGTGAATTCCGAATATACCTCATGGCAGCTTCTAGACCAAAACCTAGCTTCTGCCCTTTTCTCCACCTTTACACCCTCCATTCTTCCATATGTTCTCACCCTTCAAACAACCCACAACATCTGGCCCACACTAGAAAAATGTCTTCAACCATCCAATTGCTCTTTAGTGATGTGGACTATCTTACTCCTGCGGATCAACTTACCCCATTATACCGATTAACGGCCTGCTCCACTATCGCATGTTACTGTTTTATTGCTTTTTCCCTTACTGCCTTCTTACTCTGCTTTTGGAAGAACGTTTCCTCTTTTAGTTTTACAGTTTATATTAGGACTGGAGCTTAGGCAGCAAAGCAGATGATATTATATTGAAAACTGCTTTTACCCATTTCTCCACAGCTTCTTCTTCTTCTTCTTCTTCAGATTCTCTTCTCCTTCTCCTCCTATCTCTTGTTCTGCTTCTGTGCATTTCTCTTGCAGGTTACGGTTTCACACCATTTAGTGATTCAACTCAAGAATGAGCTGCACAATATTCAGATGAACAATCAGAATATGACTCAGTATCTCTTCCGCATCAAAGCTCTAGTTGATACATTGCAGCGACTGGCTCGCACCTGGATGCCAATTCACATTGCATGTATAAAAACTTAACAACTATACTTTTTCCATTCCAATTATAATTTTAGAGGAAGATTTATAATTTTCTTTTAATCTTTTTATAGAACTACGACAAAAGCTAGAAATGTCTCATTTGTTTAATACATGCAAAATTTTGTGTAGAGAAAATCAATTAATAGAATTTTTATTTCTTATAGTTAAAATGTTCAAAATAAAATATTCAATAATATGTTAAAAGTTACATGGTGAAATATTGTAAAATTTGAGAAAAACACATTCTAATCCATATCTTTTATAGAATTGCTAGAATTGAAATCACAGATAGGAGTTCATAAGCCTACCTTATGCTCTACAAAATCCCTATCTAGCTCGACGGATGAATAAAAACCATTTCCCTTTGAAACCCTCTACCCTTTTTCTCTCTCCTTCTCCTCTTCCTTCTCTAGCAAGGTGTCAGGGTGAGGTGTTTTACAAAATGGTTTTAGATATTTATTTAAAAAAACATCATTTTGGGTTCAGCGTTGTGGTGTCCACTACCCTAGTGCCACTGTGCTTAATAGAAATTCCAGATCCTTCCAGATTTATCCAAACATAGAGCCGTGTGCCGTGGTGGCGCCACCAAGCACCGCAACACTCCTCTAAATCTTCTCCCCAAACAAAGAGCTCAATGTCATGGCACCGCAACACCACAATGACGCCTTTGTCATTTATAAATTTTTCTTCCTCATTTCCCTTCTTACTCTTATTTAACGTCAATTATACATTCTAAGGCTTTCAATAAGTAATTATAGCAAGATAAATGTGAATTCATACCAAATTACTTTGATTTGGTGGATCCTAGGGCAATAGGTATTACAAAGGATATGTTGCCTCCATCAACTTGAATATTTTGGCATACAATGAAGATTATTGAGGATAAGGTTAGACTTGGTGCATGTGAAATTGCTACTCTTTGGATTTTTTACCTGGGTATGCAGATTACAAATTTATTTTTATTGTTCTAAGTAGGACATATTTTTCAAATAGAATTCCTGACAATTTACCATGTTGTGTGTGACCCAGTGACTTTGTGCCTTTTAACTCCCAAATCAGAGGTCTTGGGTATGACTACAAGTAAATAAATAAAATCCTGACATGTTATCTTGAGATATTAGTGTGCTAATTTATTATGGTTAACTCCTAATCTTTTTTCAACATTAGAGCAACATTTTCATGAAAGTAAATTGTTGCAGAAAGATAGTGACGCTGTAAAAGATGCACTTGACCAACTGAATGGAGCTGGTTGGGCGAGGAAGTGGAGCTCACAACCTTATGTGTCACGTCGTACAGTTGGTTCTCAATTTCTACATTTTTGCAGTGTTTTTTTTCCCAACCGTTCTTCTATTTGTATTTTGTTTTTTCTGTTCTCTGGTTTTATGTTTGGTCCATGGCTTTGCTGTTGTGAATGCTTTTTGGAACTAAATGCAGACTTCTTTGAGGGAGCTAACCACTCTGGGAATAAAAAATGCAGAGAATCTTGCAATTCCAAGCGTCAGAAATGATGTAAGCTTTGCCACATGTTAATTTCTTTGCATGGTTATGTTCGTCCACTTTAAAACACGCAGAAATATTGATAATACGGTTGAGTGGGTGTGGATGCCAGTCTGAATATTTTGTCCCTTCACAATGCTAATAGCTGCATCATAAAGATCTTGTATGATCTCGTATTTAAAGTTGCTGTTATTCTAAGTTCGGAAAATTCTCTTTGGCAATTTATGTAGTTTTTCATACCCCCAGAAAGCACAAAGATATAATTTAGGCAAGAAAAACTTTGCTAGATTTCAATATTTTCTTATTGTTGTGCAACTATATTGCTGGCAGTTCTACGTTTCATTTTGAGCATGTGAAGTGATAATGTGAATTCCAGTTTCTATCAATTTAATGTAGAACCCCATTTCCATAAGAAAGTGTAGGCTTTTAAGTCATTTGCTTTCTTGTTTTTGCAGGCAGCGCTTCTTTCTACGGTAGTCGGAACTACAGGATTACTTGCTGTCCTTGCTGGTAGACTACCCGGGGTATTTATCTCCTAGAATACACTAAATGACTCTTTATGGTCCTTGGTGATTCTCTCATGCTCCTTTTTTAAATTTAAACTTCAAAGAATGTAATTATCACTAGTGTGTGAAGATAATCATTTTACTTTTGAATTAAGAAAAGGACATGGTTTGCGAACGTGCTTAGCATGTAAAACATGCCACTTCTGCTAATTTGTTGAATTTGCAGGATTGGGGCTTCTTTGTACCCTACCTAATTGGAAGTATTCCCCTGATAGTTTTGGCTGTGGGGAGTATTTCTCCCGGGTAAGTTCATAAGTCAGTTGATATGTTCTCCCATATTGTATAGGTAGAAAGTTTAGAACCATTAAGGGTTGGTCTTATAAACCTTTTTTACCTAATGAGATGAATTATATTTGCAACAGAAGTTAGATTAATTTATGTAACAAAAGCCCTTGATAAACTTTATGAATGATCAAACTTTAGCAACATTCATAATTCAATTGTATTTTTTACAAATGCAGCCTTCTTCAAGCTGCCATTGTTGGATTTTCTTCATTTTTTCCGGATTATCAAGAGAGGATTGTCAGGCATGAAGCTGCTCATTTCTTAGGTAACCTACCATTTCGATATTTATTTTCAATTTTCTCTAATTATTTAGAAGCCACATAATTTGTAGTTCTAAATTTCACGCTCGTTAAATTTTAAGCTTTACTTTAAGGAATTTTTAAAAACTCTTCAACTGATACACATGAACTTTTTGGAAGGAGATAAACTATGATTGTAGTTCGTTCACAACTCGAAAACAATACAGGATTGAGAGAAGGGGAAGGAGGAAGAAGAATTTCATATCGAAGGAAAATTGTTCATTGCATTGATTTGATGTACTAATTTCCCCCCATGAGGGCTATTTATAGCCATATATGGTCCATAATAACAAATTAAGCAACCTAATAGACCAAATAACCTATAAACTCTTGTGAGGCATTAAACTATTTTATATTACATTTATTCATAACACTACTAACACTTTAAATTTGATCCTACCCTCAAGGTTGAATCACATAGTAAAGCAGGGTAAATCCACATAAAAGGTTGGTGTAGAATTCTTCAAGTCATGAATTGTAGGTCTAAATGTTGGCAAATATGCTGGAGGTGAGCGGCAGTCGAGCAATCTTCCTTTTGATTTTATGCTCATTAGAATAGAGCTGATGGCCATTCACCCATAGCTCCTATATGACATGCAACTAGTGCAATATGATTATAGTCATATTGGATAGGCTTAGAGCACCTTCTACAAAAATGGTGGGCAATATAAACTCTAATCGTGAAGATAGACCTTCAAGCATTTGGATTAAATTCCTTGGGAGTTTTCCCTCCTCGAGCATAATATTCAGTTTTATCTTTCTCTTTCATCACCTCCGAAGATTCATATTCTCCTATGGATGCAAGCATTAACAAGCTTACTAAGCGACACTTGTTTCTGAATCTTCAGTTGCCTACTTGATTGGTGTTCCCATCTTGGATTATTCATTGGATATTGGGAAGGAGCATGTCAACCTAGGAGATGAAAGGTTGCAGCAGCTTATATATACTGGAAATCTCGATGATAAGGGACTGGACAGGTACCAAATTCAGTATTCTATCCTAACATATTTGCCATAGAAACGGCTGCCATTCAAAATTAAGGTTTCGTTTGGGATAGTTTTCTTCTTACTTTCTAAAATGGTTTTCTATTCAACTAGAAAGCTATTTTAAAAAGCAGCACGAAAGCTATCTCAAATAAAACCTTAGACTTTCATCCACTTGAAAGATGCCTTTTGAATCACATAATTTTCAAGAGATAACGATGAAGGATTGGGTTGGCTTGGAGCAGGTTGGCTGTTGTGTCAATGGCTGGATTAGCAGCTGAAGGCCTCCAATATGATAAGGTTATTGGCCAATCAGCTGATTTGTTCTCTCTTCAGGTAAACACCTGGCAAAACACTACACATAGCTTTATCTGCTTAAGGCTTTATTTGAGACGACTTTCTTTCTTCTACATTTTAGTAAAAAAATACTTTAAAAAAATAGTAAGAAAACCGTCCCAAATAAAGCCTAACTTTGATTGATTTTAATCCCTGCAACGTGCTTTTCCTTTCAGAGGTTTTTCAATAGAACTAAGCCCAGTCTTAGCAAAGAGAAACAGCAGAATCTAACAAGATGGGCTGTAAGATCTTAATCTCAAATCTAGCTTATTCACCGGACCATTTTAACGCATTAATTTATGAAGGAATTTATATATTTATATTTAAATATCCAATATCGTAATTTTTATATTTATTTACAATATCCTAACAGAATTCTTTATAGGTCTTATTTGCAGGCTCTCTTCTTAAGAATAACAGAACTGCTCATGAAGCCCTCATGTCTGCCATGTCAAAGAAGGCTAGCGTCTTAGATTGCATCAAAGCAATAGAGAATGCCTCTTAGATCCCGAAGGTGTAATAGATCAACAGAAAATTGTATAGCTAAATGGATCTATAAAATTAACATTCTTATATCTCATTTTATCTTTATGTATTATACATAAACTCGTATCTAATTTACTAAATAAACTTTTTACAGCACTCAGTTTCTATAATTTTGACCCCAACATCTTTGATTCTTTCGACTGAATCTTTTTACTTGATGCTTGGATCAAGAACGAGTTATATCTCATCAGACCAATCGCAGGGATCGTTCTCGTAGAACAGGCCGTCGATGATGTTGTCGACGAGAGAGTCGACGAATGAATTGCAGCTAAGATTAAGGATTTGACCGATCCGAGCCCTGGCGCTGGAGAACCAGGCGAAGACGGCGGCTGAGGTAACAACGGCGAGGCAGATTCCGGCGGCTTCGGCGATCTCCTCAACGTTCAACTTCTTGAAGAGAGAGTTCCCGGTAACGAACTCCACTCCGACGGCGGCCGCGAACGCAATCTGTAAGTAGATGAAAAAGTTGAGATTAAAAAAGAAATAGTCGAACAGTTTCCTCTAATAAAGGAATCAAAACGCACCATGGCGAGACGACCGGAGACGATCTCGAAGTCGTGGCTCTTGCGGGCGCTTTCAACGTAATCAGCGAGGGATGCGAAGAAGAAAGTGGTGTTGCTGCTAGAATTCTTTACGGGAGCTGGGATTTTTCCTGATCCGTACGATCGAAGAGTGCAGAGCCGCGGCTGGAGGATAATCTTCCCGCTTGCGGGCGATAGATCTGCCGCCGATCGGAGACGAGGGATCCCCGAAAGGTCTCTGTTCCGACCAACGGCGCCATCCGTCGGTGCAAGCTCGCAAAGTATAGTCGTATGCGTGGACGCGACAGCGGCAATCATCGGGAGAGGGGGTTAGGTGTCTCTGGAAAAAAAAGTGGCGTGGCAGGTATTTTCAGGAACTAGGGAAGAAGAGCGGCGGAAGAATTCGTTGGAATGCTGGGTACCACTTCATTCCGATATTTTTTAACTCCGCAGTCCCGTCACTTGAGGTCAGCTCAACTCTAAGGGAATCTCCAACCCAATCTTATTTTTCACTCCAAATTCCAAAATATAGTAATACATCAAAATATTATAACTTATTTTCAACCGAATTTTATTTTCTAACATAAAAAAAGGGAATTTTGGGGCATTAAGCCCATCTATTACTTGGTAAAAGAATTACAAGTAAAGAAGAAAAAGAAAAGGAAAAACTGCCCAACATAAGAAATAATAAAAAAAAAAACTTATGTGGACAATAAGAAACCATTACTATACCACCCAAATTATCCAAAAAAACATATGAAGAACCAAAATGTGGCATTAGATGCAAAGCATCTAGGACTCAGGCTGCCGACCGAATAGATATACCGGATGAAATCACTGAATATGGTCAAAAAATCCCCTGGTTGCTGAAAAATGACCATCCAAGGAGAGAAAGGTCCAGCAGCTATCATCATTGTCCTAAAAAAAAAAAATTCCCCCAGAGACCGAAGTAGCTTTCTTGGCAACCATAAAGGTCACCCAGGATAATATCCAGACTATCCAGCAGGCTATCCGAAACCTGCACCAACGGCAACAAAGCAGATATTCCAACCTAAAATTCCAACCCTTGATAAAATACTTCCAGAAAAATACTCGGAAAAGCCCATCTGCCATAATTCAAACCAGCCAGCAAAGACGTGTAAGGGCCAGTCAAAAACTTTCTAGCAATCCACAACAGCCATGGCCATAAATCAACATTCCCAGCAAAACACTGCCATGAGGCCATAACACCCGACCGAACAGATATACTGGATGAAATCACTGAATATGGTCAAAAAATCCTCTGGTTGTTGAAAAATGACCATCCAAGGAGAGAGGTCCAGCAACTATCATCATTGTCCTCAAAAAAAATTCCCCCAGAGACCGAAGTAGCTTTCTTGGCAATCATAAAGGTCACCCAGGATAATATCCAGACTATCCAGCAGGCTATCCGAAACCTGCATCAACAGCAACAAAGCAGAGATTCCAAACCAAAATTCCAACACTTGATAAAATACTTCCAGAAAAATACTCTGAAAAGCCCATCTGCCATAATTCAAACCAGCCAGCAAAGACCTGTAAGGGCCAGTCAAAAACTTTCCAGCAATCCACAACAGCCATGGCCATAAATCAACATTCCCAGCAAAACACTGCCATGAGGCCATAACACCACCATCAAGATAAAAAAAGTCGGCATATTTGTGTTTGATCCTATCAATATTTTTCCAAGACTTCACCTTCAATTTGATAATAGATTTAATACTATCCGCAACCACATTAGGAGATCTCCAAGCATTAGAGAAACGCCTATTATTTCTCTCCCTCCAAATGTGATAAATCGAACAAGCCATGACAGAGAAACAAAAGTTTTTCTCTAAAAGAGAAGAAGAGAAAGCAGAGTCCAACAAATCAAATGCCAAAAACAGATTTGGCCTGAACAAAAAATTGTGGAAATGGGAAAAACCAACAACAACACAGAAAAGGTAAAATCACATTCAAAAAGAAGGTGCTGAAGAGTCTCCCTGTGAGAGTTGCAGAAGGAGCAATCTTCATAAACATTAATGCCTTTTCTAATAAGGATATCAGCACATTTAAGCCTACCAATCAAAGCCATACAAGTGAAATAGGAAAACTTAAGAGAAGCTTTCTTATACCAGACAAAATCATGCCAGGTAACCAACTCTAAATTAGAGTAAAATTTAGAAGTGAAATTCTTAAAAATTGGCATTGCTAGTACCATCCCACATCATTACCGACTCCTCCAAAATACTAATATTCAAGATCTCAGCTTTAACCTCAAAAGGAAAAACATCAGGTAAACACCAAGCTCCATTGGAAATGAAATTACCAACCACTGTAGAAGACAGCCTTTCATCAGAAATAACATCACCCAAAAGTTTACCATTAAGCCAAGGGTCCCAGAGGAAGGAATAACTGCTATTGGGGCCAACCGAAAAAGTGAAGCATTGCTTGAAAGCAGTAGCATGAGAACAAATCATTTTCCAGAAGGTGGAAGAGGATGATGGAACTGGTTTCCAGGGTGACATAAATTTTGCTCTAAGCCAATTCCCCACGAGGCTGTTAGTGTTATAAATCTTCCAAATGAAAGAACCAGCAACACCAAAATAATGAGCATCAAAGGAAAGAATACCCAAACCACCATGAGTTTTCGGCTTAGCAATAGTGTTCCAAGCAATTAAATGAAGTTTCTTAGCTTTAATGTCTCCATCCAGCAAAAATTTAGAACAAAGCTTAGAAATGAGAGATCTACAACTTTTAGGTATTATGTCGCCTCTTATCCAATATGCTAACGTATTAGCAATAGTAAATATCAGAAATTGTAGCCGCCCTGCAAAAGACAAAAACTTAACTTTCCAACCCGCAAGTAGAGCAGAAATTCTGCTCAGAATGGATTGGAAGTGAGAAAACTTGAGTCTCGAATGGGAGACCAAGATAAGTGAGGAAAGAATTGGATTGCAGGATTCCAAGGAGATCTGCAATAGAAGTGGAGGAATTGACATGTTTGGCAAAGATAATTGAGCTTTTGGTAGGATTTACAGCAAGGTTAGAGGCCTCAGCAAAGCGGTTTAAGGAGTTTAACAAAATATGAACATTATCATAATTGGCTTTCCCAAATACTAAAAGATCATCAGCGTACATCAAGTGGTTAGCATTAACACCATTACAGGTGATACCTTGAAAAAGATTAGGTTGAAGGCAACAAGATAGGTCGTCCATAGCAATACAAAACAAGAGAAGGGAAAGGGGACATCCCTGTCTAAGTCCAGAGGAGGACTTGAAAGAGCCTTCAAGAGAACCATTGATGCAAATAGAAAAATAAACATCAGAAATACAACATTTGATCAGTTTGATGAAAGGTTCAAGAAAGCCTTTAAGTTTTAAGCGATGTAACAGAAAATCTCTAGAAAGAGGTCAAAAAAATATAAAAAAATTATTTTTGCTCCAGATTATTAGATTGTCGTTATTTGTTATTTTAATTTTTCGTTATATGAATTCATTTTGGATTTTGATTTTTTTAAGGATTGTACTTTTTGATATCTTTTTATGTATGAGAATTTTATCTTAATATTATATCTTAAATTAATTAATTATGTAAAAATATTTAGATTTCTAAAAAATAAGATACTTCTAATTTATTATTTTTTATTTAGTATAAAAAATTTCTAAACTTGAATATTTAAATTTAATAATTAATTTTTGAATTAAAAAAAATTTAATGGTGAATAGTGTGACACCAATATTGGGCTGTGCACCCGCAGTCAAATAACGAAAAAAATGCCACTTGAATGGAGCGATCAAAGAAACGCCATATGTTTGTATGACGTTCCATTGGAGATGCCCAAATGAGGACTTGGGTGGTTGTATAAGCTTATAATCTTCGATCTTGTATCTATAAACAATTTGGAAGAAATATGTTTTGAGGATATCTAATTAAATTTGAAGTTCAATAATTTTAAAGTTAAGATCAATATAATATAAATTATTCATATACACTCAATAATACAGATTAAAAAAATCTAAACATAATTCAAATTATTTTTATCAGAATATTTTCATATAATTTTGTTACAGTTTCGTTAAGTAAAAATTTTCTTAAATTTTCCTTAAAATTCAGATCAAGGTGGGGGAAGGGGTTAAAGTAACTCAATCCAAATTAATTTAAATTGAATTAAAAAAATTGAGTTTTTTTTTTTAAACGGGGTATCTATCCGCTACCATCTCTTTAGGAGGCGCTTGGCGGTATAACTAATTCATCGGCTGACCTAGAAGTGGCACCCACCTTAGAAATTTCCTAACTTGCACTTGATTGGGCTCCATTTAAGAGACGCTGCAGCTCGAAGGGGTTCGATCGTTCGAGCACTGGTTTGGAGGTATCCAAACGCACTCGTCCATCAATCAAGCTAAACAACAGTGAATAAGAATAGCTTGATATATCTTAATTTAGATTTAAATTCTTAATAATAATTTTTATTTTTGGTGGTGTCATAGTAAAATCTTAATTCAATAAGTTAGTTCTTACAGTTGTTAAAGGTGCTCTGAGTAACTCTCTACAGACTACCTGGGCATTGAGAGTTTTTTTTTTGTGACGAGGAAGCACTATTCTTAGGCCAGTAAAAATCCCAGTCGACCTAGCATGCAACCAACGCCAATTTACACAAGTCAACACTTAAGACTTATTTCCTAACTTGCACTTGATTGGGCTCCATTTAAGAGACGCTGCAGCTCGAAGGGGTTCGATCGTTCGAGCACTGGTTTGGAGGTATCCAATCGCACTCGTCCATCAATCAAGCTAAACAATAGTGAATAAGAATAGTTTGATATATCCTAATTTAGATTTAAAATCTTAATAATAATTTTTTATTTTTGGTGGTGTCAGAGTAAAATCTTAATTCAATAAGTTAGTTCTTACAGTTGTTAAAGGTGCTCTGAGTAACTCTCTACAGACTACCTGGGCATTGAGAGGTTTTTTTTTGTGACGAGGAAGCACTATCCTTAGGCCAGTAAAAATCCCAATCGACCTAGCATGCAACCCACGCCAATTTACACAAGCCAACACTTAAGACTTTCACTGATTGTCAATGAATTCGAAGCATTGACCTAAGCTTTGTCAAGCCGGCTCTTCACCACCCGGATAAGAAGCAGTGATTAGCATTGCGAGTTCAGCCTTTGATCCACCGTTGCGGTCATCTGATCCTCACCTGTCACGTCATTGGTCTTAGTCGCGGTGTTTACTGAATTCACGTTACTTTGTCAGAACGAAATTCTTTCCAAGCATCATGGCAACAGAACGATGGAACATCCGCATCTCCTCCGTTTAAAATACCATTGACTCCATCATCTTTTTTCTAAATGAACTTTATGATTGATGTTTTAAATCTTGGCCGTTGGAAATCAAACTCAAGGTTGCCGTTACAATATACAGCTCGCTTTCGTGCTAATGATTGTAGAGGATCTCGATCCGCTTTGAGTAGATGCGTAAAGTGTGGAAGAGTCTCTTTT